AAAGAGAATAAAGGAGACTGTAACCTTTTTGTGAATATACCCACCTATGCTAAGGTGTTACATACATTATCTCATGCGAAACTTCCATTAGTCCTTAGAGGTAGGCTGACCACCTGGTAAGGAATCTGATGCTCTGGGAAGTTATCTGTTTTGTACGAGTTCCCTTAGCTAGGAATTAATCCTGGTTCTGTCACTCCTCTGGCTGCCCTTTTTCCTCTTAGTGGGCTGCAGGAAGGAATAACTATAGGAAGGATGGTGAGGAGAAAGGGCTGATAGGGTGAGAAAATGAGCCCAACCTGTGCCAAGGAATATGGATGGGGAGGGGGTAGGAATAAGAGAAGGGCATATTAGCAAATGAGAGCAACCCACAGAGCATCCTTGACCGGTGATGCTTACCTGAGGTGCCACTACCAGCTTTTTTGATCCTGGATTTTTGTGTGTCTCTTGGCATTTATGCAGGCACATTGGCTCCACTAATTCATCTTTCATGCTGTGTTGTTACTCAGTAGGTTTGCACCATTTGCTAGAATTTATATATGCGTGATTCCTTTGCTTATTCTGCCCACATTTGTTGATAGCCATTTTTTCATTTTCCTTTGTTCTCTCCTGCCTCTGAAAACTGGGATTTAGCCTCCAGCACTTTCTCCTTTAGGATATGTTTCAGATGCAAGCTGACTTTAGAGTCTCTTGGGAATGGGGGGAGATCACGGACATAGAAACTGGGTTGCTGTCTTTGCATTCTGATCTTGCACCCAGTGAGTCACACACATTTGAGGAAAGAATAGAGAGTTGTTTTGATCTGGCTGATTGAGCAACTCAGGGCTTTTTAGTTGTGTCAAGCTAGATTTTGTCAAAGTGCATTGACTTAAGTAATGTTCCATGTCAGGACCTACAGCTTTATGACGTTGAAGCCTCTTCATTTCACTCTCAGTCATCCTAAACACATTTCATTTCCCAATAGAAAAGCTTTAGTATGAATGAACCCTTAATACCCCCAAACACCCATTTTCCACCTAGGGTGGCTACTGGTCCCAGAACAGTTATGATGTTAGTGCAGCTGTGTGTTCTTTTAAGTCAGTCCACAAACATTTTATTGTCTGGTTATAACTGTAAAGAATAGGGAGCTTGATATGTGTTGTTTTACAGTGCCTTCTAAGTATTAATAGTCAAAACTGTATGGTAAACATTATACCTGTTTTCCTTTACTACCTGAATGACACTTATACAAAATTAAATATTACTATCTCAGCTATGCAGACTCATACTTCAGTCCCACACAAGTTTCTCTGATTTCAACTATGAGAATCTGAGTCTTGGGCATTCTTGTTAGCTTGAATAGCTTTCTATACTTAGAAAAGAGGGAGCAGAAATGTTTAGGTTAATACTTAAGTCACCATAGACTGAAAAGTTTTTTATTTCTTTAAACAATTAGTGAGTGTGCCCTCTAGGACCATCCCAGTGTACCCAGGAATTACCTCTCCTGTGGGAGTGTAGCCTGCTCTTGCCTGCAGCAGAACTCAGTCAGATGTCGCTGTGCTTGCTCAGCCTGTGGGGCAGGAGGCTGAGGATTTGCTTCCTGTGAGTTGAGTTAGCCATCGTGTGTTGTGTTGTCTGTGATTGTGGGAGTTGCTGTTGCCAGGCGTACGAGCTTGCTTGCCAGCTGCTATTGTTGCCCATCTGAGACACTACTTTTGCAAACGAGAGCTCCCTAATCATGTCCAGAGAGCCTCCTGTAGCTGTCTGAATATTTGTCTTGGATGCGCTCTTATGCACCACTGAATTCCCAGTACTCTGGGCCTTCCTGGGTGAGGGAGCCTGGGCACTGGCTCTGGTTGGGAGTTTGGAGATAGAGTCAGGCTTTTGATTCTGTACTGCTATTGGCTTGAGTGGGACCAAGTTAGCAACATGGCCTGGTAGAAAGAGCATGATCATGAGCATTAGATGGACTTCGAGCGTGAATTCTAACTCTGCTGTTTACTGCCTGCCCTTGAATATGATACTTAGAGCTCTGGGCCTTGGTTGCTTTGTCTGAAACAGGCAGGTACATGAGTACCTACTTTACTGGGTTGCTTTGAGAATTAAATGACAAGCTAGGTATAGCTCTAGCACATAGTAGCCCCTCGATAAATTGAATTACTAATAGTAACAGTTACTACCACAACCTTTATACATTTGCTTTCTTATCTCGGCAATAAAGTAGAAAGAATCATAGTTCATGATTTGAATTCTGGCTCTCATCATTAGCTTATATTTCCTAGCAGTAATCATCAAAACAGTTACACTTATTGAAGATTCCTGTGTAAAATATGCTAAAATGTATTATCTCTTTACTGTAATCTTATGAGGTACTGTTATCACTCCCGTTTTACAGATGAGGAAACCGAGGACCAAAGAGGCTAAGTTACACACCCAAGGTGACACCACAAGAAATGGAAGAGAGAAATAAAAATAGAGGGGTTTTTGATTCTAAAGCTGGTAGTCTTGATAGCCTCCATTTCTCTCAGTAAAATAAAGAAAGCCTCAAATGGGATAATAAATGCAGTGTCCTGTACATAGATACACAGATTCACACAGGGGTTTGCCACCCCTGAGTGGCTTTTAACCTGAAATCTACAAGTTAGCTTGCACCTTTAGGTAAAGGAGAAAGCTTAGAGTGATTGGCGGTCTTGTTGGGCATGGCAGCCCTAAGTTCCCAGCCCATTCCATCTTGTTCTCACACTCTGATGTCGTTTCCTCTGCCTCTTGCTCTAAGCAGCAGACCTGCCTGGACTGTAAGAAAAGTTTCTGCATGTCCTGTTCGAGCCAAGTGGGGAATGGGCCCCGCCTCTGCCTTCTCTGCCAACGATTCCGAGCAACGGCCTTTCAGCGGGAGGAGCTCATGAAGATGAAGGTGAAAGACCTGAGGGACTATCTCAACCTCCATGACATCTCTACAGAAATGTGCCGGGAGAAAGAGGAGCTGGTGTTCTTGGTGCTTGGCCAGCAGCCTGTAATCTCCCAGGAGGGCAGGACTCGTGCCCCTACCTTGTCCCCAGACTTCCCCGAGCAGCAGGCCTTCCTGACCCAGCCTCATGCCAGCACAGTACCTCCTACCTCACCCAACCTCCCTTCTTCACCTGTACCAGCCACCTCTGTTTCCCCAGCCCAGGCTCAGGAAAATCAGCAGGTACGGGCCCGTTTGCAGTCTCTGCCAATCTTTGCCGGTTTGAGGGCTCATTTCCCTTCCTGCCTGTGATGTGGGAGTCGGGTGGGACCATAGGTGTTTTGATTATGTGCAACTTTTCTGCCTACTAATGTATGAATGGTATTTTCTTGACATCACAGTTACGTTTTGGCTTTTTTCAAAGATGATAATGCACGGTACCAGGTTTTTTGTTTAATACATACATATCCCAGCTAGACATTTAAAAAAATTTCATTGTCCCAGAAATAATTTGAGAAAACTCATTGTTAACTCTTGAAATTTAGTTCTATTCAAAATACCCTCCTACTTACTCAACTTTGTCATGGTCTTCCTTAGCTGGATGGGGACAGCAGTTTCTTAGTAACCATCACAAGGCACATAGGGACAAAGGAACCTATGTAGAGAGAAGGAAGAGTGGGGAAACTGATCAAAACAAGGACACTGCTTCTCTCACCAGTCACTGTTTGGGCGGGGGAGTGGCTGGCATACTATCGAACAGTAAGCTGCCTTATCATCATCCCAGTGGGCCTGGAAATGGAAGGCTAAGAGCAGCACATTGAGTTATGAACCAGGAATAGGAAGTACTGTAACAGGTAATACATTGCCTCTGCCCTCAAAAGCCTCTCCAAGAAGGAAGGTAGTGTTGACATAAGAAACGTCCAAACCTGTAGGGAATTTTTATGAGTTTATTTGAGCCAAACTGATGACAGTTGTCGGGAAGCAAAATCTCAGTGGGTTGAGGAAATGCTCTGGAGAATGGCAGTTTTATAGCTTATTTTATACATTAGAATCAAAGGAGGAGATGTAATGGGGGTTATGTGAAATTCATTGGTGGCAGATTAGGGAGGCAGGAGGAAGAAAACTGGGGAAATCTCTGAGATTGGATAAAAAAAAATGGAGAGACATGTATTTCTTTTACTTTGGCGAGTACAGGCTAGTACACAGATGGTGTGTGGGCAACAAGATAACAATAAGAGTTTCTGTGGTCTCATGCTCTGGTGGGAGGTTGTACCCCAAGGGGTCTAGAAAAGGGATTACTCTGAGATTTCAAAGATATGTTATCTTAGATTAAAAAAAGACAATAGATAGACTTACTAAAGGTAAAGATTGACTTTTGTCAAGGGAGCTACAGGCCTAGGACTTCACTACCTATCACGACTTGCTTTTTAGTTAGGAATTTTTATGTTCAGACCATCCTTTGTGGTTACTTTCAAACTCTGAGTTTGTAAGGCCTGCCATGCAGGCCTTCTTGAGCTTGTCAGGTTTAGTACATGGCCACTTTTTGGTCCACAGTCGACATGCAAACCAACTGTTGGATTAGAGTGAGGCCGGTGGACTTAACTGCTGTGTTAGTGATGGTGTCCCATAGATGTGCTTAAGTACCTTAAGGACCCTTTTATTTACGTGGCTTGGGCAGTAGTGAGGGGATTAGGACCTAGAAGATCCGGTTTCCACATTCAATATGTCACTGACTGTTTAGTCACCTTGGCTGAACTTTGAGCCTTCAACAGTAAAATGGAGTTTTGCTCTTGCCAGGATGTTGTGAGAATTGACTAGTGTGATGCCATGTCTTAAGAGCTTTGAGCTACTTAGAGCTGGCATAGTACTTGGGTTGTTAGTTACCACATGGGATGTGGATGGCTGCTGCCTCCCGTTGATGATCACCTCCTTTGCCAGGACTGGGCCCCGTGATTCAGCTCTGACAGGCATGAGGCATAAAGGCCATTGCGATAGCATACTTTACCTGCAGTAAACTCATTTACTTCTTTGTTGACTTGAGCATGCTTTCTTCCCAGCTGGACTTTGACTCTTTCCTAAGCTCTGGCTCTCTGTCCCCTGGACAGGTTTTTACCTGCTGCTATGATTTCTTCTCTTCGTTTGGTTGAGCTCTCCTCTCTGTTTATAGGGAGATAGGAAGATAGTAACTTGAGGAAATTGTTCTTCCCTAATGAACCTTCAGGTGCGTTCTTCAGTGAAAGTTCTTCACTCGGTTTTAAGCTTCCTCTTGTTAACCGGAAATTTCCAGACTCTACCTACAGGTCGGTCACACAGTGTACCAGATCTAATTGGGTACTTCTCCTCCGATCGCTGATATTTTCAGAGGGCCTTCGTGTCAGCTCACATCCCCTGTTCCAGTGAGATGTACATTTTGCAAGCCAGAAAAACAGATAATTTCACCTAGAATGCAAATGTCCTCATAGTACTTATGCCACCAGAGTTCTTCTCTTTAAAACATTTAATGCTCTGGCAATAGTTGCTAGGGAAGGAAGTGAATGGAATAAGCAAAACTGTGGACAGATACTAGTTGTGGATTTTGATTTAGCCAGTGGACAAGAGAAAAGACAACATGCTTTTCAGCATGAGATCCAGTTTCTCTTTCTAAGAAAAAAGGACATACAAAAGCTGTCTGTTTAGGAACAGTTTAGGCTCTGAAAGACTTTTTGTAACTCCAAGGTGACACCAGGAGGCCAGTGGGTACCACATCTTCATAAAGCAAAGAGAAAACTAGAGGTGCTGATGAAGACATTGTTTTGGGTACCTCCCCATACATGTATGCTATATGTATATCTTAGCCTCACTTGGCATTTTTGATGGTGGTGGTAATTCCTACTTTTCATTCCCCCTGTAGTTGGTTGTTTCTTCTTAATTAGCTCTCTTTTTATATCCTAATCTGAAATGAGTGGCCAACGCCTGCTGGTGACTGGTTTCCTAGGTTGTCTCTTTTACTGGTGCTCCAAGACTCTAGTGGAAAAGGCCTGTGAACTCAGATACCTCTTTGCTCTGGGCTCACATCAAGCCCTTTGCCTGGAGGGAGCAGTGGGTGAAGAAGGCCTAGTTAAGGGGTTGTGGCTTAATAGTGATAGAATTAGGAGGTTCATAGTTCTGAGTACTCATTGACAAAACCTTTTGAGAAGTTAGAATTCTAAACAGAATTAAACTCCTTAAGAATAGGTATTTATCTTATGTAGTGTTAGGCTAATAGATTCTTAGATGCAATAAAATAGAATTTTGATCAGGTTTCAAGACAACTCTTGGTAATAGTGTGCCTTGCTGGTTAGAACGTATTTCCAGAATGAAAGAGTAGTTACTTGCCAGAAGAGAGAGAATGAATAGGGTGGTGAGGCCCTGGAAACTTTGTCCCATCTGGGCCAGATGAGGAAGCAAGGCAGATTTAGTATGGAGGAAGGGAAGACATGAGATGAACAATTTGGAAGAAAATAGTGGACATTAGTCCAAGGTGTGGAACCAGGGAGGGTGGGTGGAAGATACAGGAAGAGCAATTTGGGGTCAGTGTCAAGAAGAAAACTAGATGGCCGTTAGCAGTCTCCAGCAGTGGACATGTGATCTTCCTTTCACTTGGAGTGTTCAAGCTGAGACTAAATTGATGAGTGGCAGCTAACACCATCCAGGTGGTGCGCAGAATTAATGCACTCACTCTTGTTCTAGAGTTGAAATCTGTTTGTAATGTTTCTGTGCCTGACAAAGTCAGTATTAGAGGGAAGGCTTTTGTAATGCTGCTACGTGAGACTCCAGATTTCTGGGGGAGTTGAAAGTACATTTGGGACATGGTGTGTGCTTGGAAGAGGCCCATGCTATACAAATCCCTGGGACATCTTCATGGATATGATGGCACCTTTCTCTTCCCACAGGCCAATGGCCATGTGTCTCAGGACCAAGAAGAACCCATCTACCCGGAGAGCACAGCCAGAGCACCTGCTGAGGATGAGACCCAGGTGGGGCCTCTGCTCGGGTCTGTGCCTTTGCCTTTGCTCTTTCACTGTTCTTAGCTTAGGCTGTTAGGAAACTCTCAACAGACTTAGAAGTGGAGAGAGAAGAATCAGCCTGTGATGAAATTCTGTTTTCAGGGGCGGAGTTTAGTGTTAATGTTCTTTCAGAGCTATCAGTATGTTAGTGTGGAGTTGTGAGATCACAGTGGAGACTGGGGAGCCTCATGGCCCATTAGTTTCTAGTCTCTTGACTTTCTAAGAGCTGCCAGAGTGCCGGCTTGTGGTGCTGCTGTGCAAATCTGTTGTTCTTCTGCTTCTAGCACACAGTAGCCATTGCCAGGGGAAGGAGGTCAGATAATCAGGAGGAAAGATGAGAGGGAGTTCAGGCCTCAGCCATAGTGGGGCCAGCCCAGAGGGCACAGCCATCAGGGCCATGGAGCTATGGTCAAGGTTACATACAGAGGAGTGCTTACCAGGGAAGTCTCCCTCTTCCGAGGGAAAACAGAACTCTCTCCAGTGGAGAGAGAAAGCCAGCACCATGCTCCGTGGTTTCCTGTACTGCCACATTTAGTCTTCACAGGAATCCTGTGCAGTAAGATTACTATCTCTACTTCATGGAGGAGCAGATCAGCTCAGAGTGGTAGTAACTTGCCTAATATTATTTAGCATTAACCAGAGGAGGAGGTAGGATTCAAAATCGGAGCCATCTGACTCAAATTGATGCTCCTTCTGCTATATACACTGTCTGCTTGGTTTGTGACCGACTGTGCCTGAGCACAGAACTAACTGTAGGTCAGGAAGAGATGGATCTATTTTGTAATGCAAAGCACCATGCCAGGTACTATTCCTGCGCCTGTTTCTACTCTCGAGGTCAGTCACCAAAAGTATGGTGTGACGAGTGCTTTAGGGTCCTTGGAGAGAGAGCCTGGCGAGGTAAAAGCTAAACTCATGGATTTCATCTTTGCTTTTTCAGTCTGTTGACTCAGAGGACAGCTTTGTTCCGGGTCGGAGGGCCTCTCTGTCTGACTTGACTGACCTGGAGGATATTGAAGGTCTGACTGTGCGGCAGCTGAAAGAGATTCTGGCTCGCAACTTCGTCAACTACAAGGGCTGCTGTGAGAAGTGGGAGCTGATGGAGAGGGTGACACGACTGTACAAGGATCAGAAAGGACTCCAGCACCTGGGTGAGGGGCTATCTGGGTGGCAGCTGCACAGAATTCCGGAGTGCTTGCTGTGTCTCACTCTAAGGAATGACCGTCTTCTAAGGAAGGATTCACCTTACACATCTGGCCATCTAATAACAGCTGCCATTTGGAATTGGGTGCCAGGACTGGGTTAGGCATTGTATATACTTCTATTTAATCCTCAGAGCAGCCTATGGAATAGGCATTATTAGCATCTACCTTTTATTATAGAGCCCAGATTTTAATTGAGAATTTCCTGGTCTGTTTCCCTGGTCTTTCTCACCATAAGTCACCCCTACCATACTTACTACTACCTCCAACAATACTTACTTTAAAGAGTTTGGAGATCAGGAAGCAAATCTTTGCACACATTGTGTAAGGAAAATATCTATTCCGCCTGCACTTGGGCTTTTCCTTTTATTCATTTCCCAAATCATTCTATAGGGTATCATTATCAGGTGACGCCCAGTAAAATATCTAGGACTGTGGTCAAATGAATTTGGGAAAAAATATATTATGTCCCCCTGTTACTGATTCCTGGTCGATACTATACTAGTAAAGGCAGAGAAGTCCTACAAAAGAGAAATGTGTTTGTCTACTCTGAACTCTGCATTTCCTGAGATGCTTTCACGTAGAACCCTCCCCTCCCGTCCCCTTCCCTCCCCCACTGAGTTAGCTCCTGCACATCAAGATTTTGATTCCTTGCATGCTGACAGTAGTTGAAATTAGATTTCAGGCTCTCCTCTCCTAGTAGCTCGAATTCATCAGAGTTAGGGAACATCTGACCAATCACCTGCTCAAAGACTCTCTCTTCCCTTGGGAGTGTTCCCAGAGTCTCCTTAGAGTTGTGAGGACATGGGGAATAGGAGATGGCTCCACCTGGGAATTTCATCCAGACGCCCTGGCCATCTAGAACAGACTGTTCCTTTCTTGACTTTAATGCTAGCTTTGAAAGTTACAGGAAAGGCTATTGTGCTTATTATGCAGTATCCTTCTTACTTGAAGTTTTGTTCATGCAAACCAATGGACTCCCTTTTCTTAAGACTAGACCAGACACACCAGCAGGAGCTGTGTGTGAGTTCTTAGCATGTGAGTGAGTGAGGAGGTGTCTGTCCGGGCTCCGGGCCATCCTGGTTTTCAGTAGGAACCTAGTCAGAGGTCAGATATGAAGTCAGGGTAGTTGGAAACTTTTCTTCGTACCATCACATATTGACATCTTTCTTTTTCCTTTTTAGTGTGTGGTGCTGAAGACCAAAACGGTATGTAGTTGTTTCTCCTGTTTGAAAACGGACTTAGGCTCTTAGCTCTCTGTCCTTCCGCTCCTTCAAACCTGATTCCTGTTACTAGTCTAAGAACTCTGAGCATATTGGCATCCGGACAGAGGGTGTGGAGGAAATTCACTGAGAACCAGGGCTTCTCAGCATCTTTAGAAATTTTCATTCTCCCCTCCCTGTGAAGGGGGAGGAGTACCAGCATTACAAGGGGGGGGGGGGCGCGGGCAGACTGATTTGCACATCTCTGGATTGCCCACGCTCAGAAGCCAGCATTTGTAAAATATTTAACAAAGCGAGTCATGATATGTGTCACATTTGGTTCAGTTTTCATATTCCTGTTGCAAAGGCACTCCTTCCCCTACAATTTTTACTCTGTTCTGGTCTGAGTGGTATGGTTTCTGTGTACATTTCAGGGAGATCATTTGGGATGTTCAACAGCTTCTGGTCCCACCAAAAAGAAAGGGTGGTAACCTGAGAGACTTGTTTGTACGGGGCTGGACAGTGGCGAGAGCTGCTCTGGGGACAGATCAAGAAAGGTGTCACACACGGTGCTTTCTAGGCACAAGATGCATATCCCACCTCCACTGCCACACATGCACCTGGGCCCTTGGGTGTCTTCAGAATGTACTGTGGGACTCTGACTAGATTGGGGCTCATTCTAAAATACTATGCTAGACCTTTTGAACACCTCAAGGCTATACGGTTGTGGACTCTCTCAATTTTTCAGAGTAGTGCAGGGGCCTACAAAGCATTTTAAAGCTTTCAAAAGATCTCCAAATTTTTTATTTAGTAAATGGCCTTTTGCTCAGAATGGGACAATCTTCAGGCTGATAAGTTTTCAAGAGTTGAAGTCTTCTTAGTTCCCCCAAACCATTTGGAGTTCTAGATGTACTCTTTCACCTTGATTGTGCTAATCCACTTGGTGTCTTTTCTGATTCCCTGAGGGAATGCTGGCAACCAAGTTGATGAGTTTATTGTTCTTCCTAAGAGAAGTAATCAGTAATGAAATTCTGTGCATTACTCCACTCTTCTTAGGTATTTATATAGTTCAGTCCTTTCATACTTTCCTTGTTAGGGCCAATAGCTTAAAAGGTTGAATAGGTTTCACTACCTTTCACAGCCAGCCCACCTCAGGTATTTCTTGACTTTTTGAATAGTCCAGGAAACAGAAGGGAAAGTACAGGAGCAACAGAATACGGGAGGATTCCCCTGTGGAATGGCAGAGGTGACTGGTATGAGTCCAGTTCCCAATTTATGGCTACCCATTTCAGGCAGCCATTCAAAACATGCTGGCTGGGAATGGCCGGATGAAGGTCTTTCTTTTTGTGCAACTAAACTAGGAGACTGGCCATGCCCGCTGTGTCTCACCACTCAAACAAGCCAGTGAGCTGTTATTAAGAACTCTGTGCACTGAGCAGTTAATACTGTTATCTTGATAGTCCCTGCCCTTAGGCCAGTTGCCCAGAAGGCTCACCTGTCTGAATTTGAATCCTGGCTTCTCTACTTAGCAGCTGTGTGCCCTTAAGCAAGCCACTTAACTCTTTGGCCTCAGTTACCTCATCTATAAAATGAGTAATAAGAGTACGACTTCATAGGTTTTGTGAGGATTTAATAAGTTAAAATATGCAAAGCTTTAGGATCCTGCCTGGCACCTGTAAACATTTAGTAAATGTGAGCTTTTATCATTCCCTTGGGAGATGATCATTTATCAGACATTTAGAGAACACCTACCACCTGACTGGCATATTAGGGATTCAAAGATGACTATCTGACCTCAGAACACATAACAGTGCTAAGTATATAATTGTGGAAATTGATTGAATTTGTTGAATTAAGGAACTCATAGTGTAATAGGGGGAGATAAGTAGGCAAACTCAAAAATTGTAATCCAGTGTGGTAAAGCAGTCATAGGTATATGGACGAAGTTCTGTGGGGGTAGCACAGAAGAGGGAGCTATTTCTGTTGGGCTCTTCCACCAGGAAACCTCCTCAGAGGAAGCCCATTTATATGTAAACTTTTCGGAACCAGTTTTATCTTTTCAGCATGTTCTGCCTCAGGAGATAATGCATACCTAAGTGCTATTCACTCACTCTATTACACTCTCAATTGTCTGAAAATTATTTCTTTTAAACTTTGAAGACACTGTCTTATCTAGTTCTCATGTTCTGGGATGTATTTGATCTACAAGTACCTTACTTTTCAGATCTATAACCTGACCTATAGAGGTCCACATTAAACAGGCAACTGGAATTGATTACTGGGAAAATGTTGCTTAGAGTTCTTTTTTAGGGGAAGTGCGTGAATTATGGGTTTGTTGACAGTGTGCCTTTTCTCTCCCACCTCCATCTCTCCACCACCTTGTACACTTAATAATAATCTTACTTTCCCCTTTGCCCCTTTTCTGCCCTGTGTCTGTACAGGAGGAGCAGTGCCATCCAACCTGGAGGAGAACCTGTGTAAAATCTGCATGGACTCACCCATTGACTGTGTTCTGCTGGAATGTGGCCACATGGTAACCTGTACCAAGTGTGGCAAGCGCATGAATGAGTGTCCCATCTGCCGGCAGTATGTGATCCGGGCCGTGCACGTCTTCCGA